CTCCCCTATAGTCATCTCCTCACCTCCCCTGCCCTTCTGTAGTGTGGCCGAGCTCCAATCCGGTCCGCGACCCGGCGGGACTGACAGGAAGCGCACACCGAGTGTGCACTTCCTGTCAGTCCCGCCGGGTCGCGGACCGGAAAGGAGCTCGGCCACGCTACAGGGCAGGGGAGGTGAGGCAGTGCAGCGGCCGCCTGAGCGCTCTCTATAGAGTGCTCAGGCGGCTGCAGAATTTAAAGGTCCGGCGATGGGGGCGCAGGGCGCCCCCTCCTATATGGCGCCCTAGGCGGCTGCCTAGTTCGCCTTATAGGAAGCGCCGGCCCTGGCTATGGGGGCTGCCTAATGTTAATTCTGTGTAAAAATTGAAGATTATGCTAGCTTTAGTGTACTAATAATCTTAATTTTAATAAGGACAGGAGGCGAGTATTTTGCATTAACTCTCTTTACTAAACTCCACAGCAGTAAAGAAAAATGTAAAGAGTAACATTAAATCACTGAGCAGCATAGTATATATAAGGGTCATGCTGCCTGTACACTTCCTCTTTCTTGAAGCGACATCCAAGTCCAGACTGAGCTCGAAACGTCCAGAAAAAACAACGAAACTGTAAACAACGGTCTCTGGTGAGCAGAGCTTGAGGAGACTCCTGGCAAACGAGATTGGAGGCAAGACGAAACAAAGTCTTTATCCCAACCAGCGGAGTCGTGAGGTTAACCGAACCAGCATCCAGTGGAGGTCCTGAAGAGGATTACACTGAAAGGAGAGTATAAAATAGGTTAGGTACTGAACTGTAACTGGTCACGCAGGTGAGCCTTATCAGAGTGCGTTAACATAAATGATTAGATACATAATTAGCGTGCGTAGGTAAAGTTTAAATACATGTTTATATGCAAGCATGTGATACAACGTAAATCCTGGCTGCATAAGGCCGTGTCACTGGGAAGAGAGATGGGATAGAAACAGAATACACCCCAAATAAAAGGAGAAGCCACTAACTAGTCATAAGGAAACATCAGTCACCTTGAGATCCACTCCCCAGAGGGGTCAGGGCAGGGAACAGAAGGGAGGGAAAATACTCTCCTCCTGTCCTTATTAAAATTAAGATTATTAGTACACTAAAGTTAGCATAATCTTCAATTTTATAACATGACAGGAGGCTTCCTATTTTGCAATTTTAACACTGAAGTAGAGATGTCCAAGCAGAAGGGGGAGTGCGGAAATAAAAGGTACGGAAAGTAGATTCCCTAGACCAATCGGCCGCTCGGAGAATGTCTGACAGGGACGAAAGCGGGGTCTATACCGGCGAGGGAGAGGATCCAGCAAATCCACCGGGCCAGCGTGGTGGCCGAGACCGGAGCATGGGGGCGGACATAGGAGACTAGGAGTTGACCCGACGCTGAGTTACGGAGTGAGGAGGTGACCGAAACATATCTGCGAAGGGTGGACATGACACAGAGCTGCGGGTCGTCGGAGAAGAAGGGGTAGAAGACTGAAGTCGAACCCGTGGAAAATGTGGAAAGTGACCCCCTCAGGGATCACCTCAAAGGCGTCAACGTCGAAGGCTCGAACGTCCGAAACCCGTTGAAAGGACACGAGACAAAGTAGAAAGGCACACAAAGTAGAAATGCATACCACGGACTAGGCTGCAGACGAGAGGGTCTTTGCCGACCGGGAGGTCCCCGACGGGGGTGTGGGCCGCCGAAATCGCAGAGCGAACGACGTTAACGGAACGGTAGGAGCGCCCCGACGAAAACAATGATGAAAGGAAATTGAGAATCATGGGAATAGGTGCTGTAAATGGATCGGAGTCCCGTTCCACACACCAAGTAGACCAGGAGGCCCAGGCTGAAAGGTAACAGCGTCTAGTTCCGGGGGCCCAAGAATCCCATAAGATGTCCCTAGTAGCCTGCGATAGCCCGCTGACTTGCCAGGAACCCCGGAAAGAGTCCAAGCCACCAGGGGCAGACGGTCTTCCAAGAGAAGTGGGTGAAGATTCCCTTTGAGATCGTGAGCAGGTCCGGAAAGGATGGTAGGCGTAGAGGGTCCTTGCAGGAGGAGGCCAGGAGATCCGGGAACCATGGTTGGCTCTGCCACAAAGGCGTTATGAGAACCAGTGTGACCTGTTGTGTCCGTATCTCGTGTAGTGTTCTCGCAATCATGGAGAATGGGGGTCGTCGGCCATTGTTGGAGAAATGTGTCTGTCGCCTTGCTCTCCGGGTCCGGGAGCCAGCTGAAGAACTCCGGGTCTGGTGATTGTTGCGAGAAGCGAACAGATCCAGGTGAAAGGGACCCCTGCGGGTTGCCAGGGCCCTGAAGACTCTTGTGTTCAGCCTCCAGTTGCTGACGTCTCTCCAGTGGCGAGAGAACCAGTCGGCCGTGAGGTTGATCTCTCCGGGTAGGTATTTGGCCTGAAGTGCAATGTTGCGAGGTAGGCAATAGTTGAAGATTTCCCTCGTGATGTCCGACAGCAGGCGTGAGCGTGCACCCCCCAGGCGATTGATATACCGGACTGCGGAGACATTGTCCATGCGTAGGAGGATGCAGCAGTTGGATCTTTCCCGGGCCAGGCTGTGGATCGCGAAAGACCCCGCCAGGAGTTCTAGGCAATTTATGTGCATGGAGAGCTCCTGTGCCGTCCATGTTCCCCCCGTGGAGATGGTTCCGTTGGTGGCACCCCATCCCCACAAGCTGGCGTCTGACTCCAGTATAAAGTCTGGGGTACCTCCGAATATGGCCCTGCCGTTCCAGGCTTGCATGCTGTCCAGCCACCATGATAGTTCTTCGCGAACCTCCGTCGTCACCGGGACGGGTTGATCGTACGTGCGCCTGCGGCGTAGGTATCTTGCTTTGAGGCGTTGCATGGCTCTGTAGTGGAGGGGACCCGGAAATATGGCTTGAATGGAGGCGGAGAGGAGTCCAACGATCCTGGCCAGGTTGCGTAGTGGGATGGAATCGCGACGGAGAACTCTGCGAATCTCCTTGTGAATGGACGAGATCTTTGAGGCTGGTAGTCTCAGAGTGCATGTCATCGAGTCGATCTCGAAGCCCAGGAATTGTATCGTCTGGGAAGGGGTCAATTCCGATTTCTGTTGGTTTACCACAAAGCCCAGAGATTCCAGTAGTGTCACTGCGAGATGAGTGTTTTGACGCAGTTTGCGTTCGTCAGAGCAGAAGAGGAGGAGGTCGTCCAGGTAGATGATGCATCGGACGCCCCTGGATCTCAGGTGGGCCACTACTGGTTTCAGGAGTTTGGTGAAACACCATGGGGCCGAGCTGAGCCCGAAAGGGAGGCAGGTGAATTGCCAAGGGCGGCCGTGCCAGAGGAAACGTAGGAGTGTTCGGCAGTCCGGATGCACTGGGACCGACAGGTATGCATCTTTTAGATCGAGCCTGGTGAACCAGTCGTTGCTTCGCAGGAGGTCTCGCAGAAGGTGGATGCCCTCCATCTTGAAGTGGCGGTACACCATGTACGCGTTGAGGTCACGTAGGTTTATGACGGGATGGTATTCTCCCGTCTTTTTCCGAACCAGGAAGATATTGCTGAAGTAACCTCCCCAGTCGTGGGCCGGCTGGATAGCCCCTTTGTCTCGAAGCTCGCGTTGACGAGATAATGGTCGGAAGACGACATGTGGATGGGGTGAGGAGGTTGTGTCTGAATGGGGGTCCCCACTAGGTCTATGATATATCCCTGTACTGTTTGTAGGATCCACGTGTCTGAACACAGGGCGGCCCAATTCTGGAAAGAAAGGGAAAAACGGCCCGCAGAGCGAGTGCATGGTAACTACAGAGGAATACGGGTGCTTACCTGTAGCAAAGCGGGAACGGCTGTGTCCGCGGGGTCCACGGCCTCTGTCTGAGCCTCTGGAGAAAGGCTGCTGCCGGTAATCTCTCGTTGGGTAAAACGGTGTTGGTTGGGTGCGGGGGCCTGAAGGCCAGAATCGGCTGGCCGCACGGCCCTGTTGCCAGCCAGCCCTTCCAAAAACCCCTCTGGTGGGGTTGCTTCGAAAGACTCTGCGCATTGAGGACTGCGCTTTATTAAGTGAGGTGAACACGGTTACGTGTTTGTTAAGTTCCTTGAGGAACGATTCACCAAATAGTTTCCCTTGTGCCTGGGGCCCAATCTCCTTTGTGCCAAGTTCTGCCAATTTACCGTTAATACGGTATAACGCTGCTTTCCGTCTCTCCGAAGAGAGCGTAGCATTTGTGTTTCCAACCGTTGTGCCCACTCGCGAACATCGTGTGCCCATTCCCTGATGTCTTTGGCAGAGAAGGAATCGGCTTTGGCGTAGGTGTCATCTGCCAGGTACATAATGCGGGGCCCACGGAATCCAGCTGGTTATCCTGAGTGCCCCATAGGCCTTTCTCTACCCCTCGGGTCTCTTCCACTGCGCATCATGAAGGTTGTCATAACCTTGTCAAACTCAGGAGTCTGAGCCACTTTATCCGGCAGGGAAGGGCGTGGGCATTCTGATCTAAGCCGGTTGCGGACCTCTTTCTCTAGAGGCTTGCGGAGCCATAGGTGCATGAACCTGGAGAGGTGCTCTGGCGGAGACAAGTCTCCCGATCTGGGGTGCTGTATGTTGCGGGGATCGAACATCGCCTGACCCGTAGGGTCTAAAATGGTGTCTGAGTCAAGAGGAGGCTCTGCGTCCGCAGTGTCCTCAATACCCCCTGTCTGGGCCGCACCCAGGAGGGTCTCCCGCATGAAAGCGGAGACAGACTTCTCATCCGAACCCCATGCGTCGTAGTCCGAGTCAGAAACGTCAGCTTGCCATTCGTCTAGCACTGACATGGAATGTGAAGGGCCTTGCTCTTCATCCGAAGAGTAATCCTGATGCGGGGCCGGGGTACTTGCTTTGGCAGATTTGCGCTTGGTAGATGCCTTACCCTTGAGTGGTTTGGGTGCATAGTCTTCGCCTTTCGCGTGGCGTTTCTTACGGCGGGAGTCATCCCTGGTCTGATAGTCGGACATCTCAGAATCCGACTTGTGGCGTGGTCGCCTGTGGGCAGGCTTGGGTACATCTGGAGCTGTAGCTCGTACCTTGGAGAGTGCCTTCTCCACAGAGGCAGCGACGGCTGCATTGATCATGGCTTGGAAGTCCACAGGGACGTTCTGGGATAAGGGTAGGCTGTGATACACGTCACTAATAGGCACAGCATTAAATGGGGCACCCAGGTCTTAAGTATAGGCGTAGGGTCAGTTGACGTGGTGGTTGTGGTGGGAACAACGCCACCCAGTTATAAACCCCAGCAGGGTATAGTTGGTGACCTTATAAAACTGGGGCTCACCCAGTTAGAGAGAACTGCAACAGCTAGTCTCCCAATAAGCAGCGTGGTACTAATGTACTTATAGTGGGGGCTCACCCCGGTTGCACAGGGTTGGTACCCTTAAGTGCAGGTCACAATATTAAACAGGCAGCAGCACTGACCTGACTGACCAGCCACAGAGTATAGGAGTCTTTAGCTTGTTGGAGTAGACAGAGACACAGGAATGCAGTGTAAAGTACAGTAGGAGGTCTTGTGAGGAAGATGAAATGCTGAGTAGATAATCCTAGGCACTCACAGGGTATCTGTGAATCTCGCGGTATCCGCGATCCAAAATAGCGGCCGCGAGTGTAGGCCGCAAGCCGGGGACTAAATTTGAGGCCGGAGCGAAAACGGCCGCGATTGATTCCGGTCGCGAGGAGGGAGCCCAGGAGGGAACTCCAAGCTAGTAGGGCGGTTGGGGGACCTGAGGGAAGCCCAAGGAGGAAGCCCAGAGAGAGAACCCTAAAGGGCTAAACTAGTTCCCCTGAGTAACAAGGAGAAAGATAATAATACAAGGTAGAGTACAATAATAATACAATTATATATATAATGGATAAATTAAAATAAACAGACTAATAATAATAAATGAATAAAGCTCTGGAGGTGCTAAATAGTCTGACCTGTCTGCGATGGAGCAGTAAAGAAAGAGGAAGTGTACAGGCAGCATGACCCTTATATAATACTATGCTGCTCAGTGATTTAATGTGTTACTCTTTACGTTTTTCTTCACTGCTGTGGAGTTTAGTAAAGAGAGTTAATGCAAAATAGGAAGCCTCCTGTCATGTTATAAAATTACACCTGTCATCAGCACACAGCTTGCTGGCAACAGATATAATGAGCTTCATCATTGCAGGCATGAGTCTCCTCCCTCCTGGCGCTACCCCGCCTCCCTCCAGTAAAAAGTATTTATATATATATATACATATATATATTAGCTTTTACTGGAGGGAGGCACATATATATATATATATATATATATATATTTTTATTTTTATTTTTTTTTAATCCCTAGCCTTGATCAACCCCTCCCTCGACTACCCAGCATGCACTCTGAGTGTGTGAAATTGACCAATAGCTTCTCTATGATGTCATTTGATTACAGGTAAGTTTACCATTTCACTTGCAGCTTTATAGGGGGAGAGGAACCCAATGAGAAATGCCCAGCAGAGCATTTTTTAAGGGTTTTTTTTTTAGAAATACTTTAAGTAATCTTTTGCAGTTAATGTGTTGAGATGCAAGATATTTTAACCATTTGTCAGTTGGTATTTAGTATTTCAAAGGTTATTATTTTGAAGGCCATCACTCTCAACTCATTCAGAAAGCAAAACAAATATAATGTAAAATTTTCAAAAAATTACATTCAAACACACCTCTAAGCAGTGTAACTCCACTTTCTGTTTCAGAGAGGTCAAGATTTGCATGCAATTTTATGTTTTGACTGTTTTATTCTTAAATTAAATGTGCTCATGTAGCTGAATTTGCAATTCTATGTTCCCAGGTCTAATTAGCAGATTTCAGATGAGTACTCTTGCGAACTAATGATGAAACCAATAGCTCTTTTTGTTTTTTCGAGTCCCTGTTGAGAATTACTATTTCTGTAGTTATTTCTGATGTCAAGCAGGACATTGCAGAGTAAGTTCGGCTAAAAATATTCTGAATACTTTAGCAGATCAGAATAAAAGTGATAATTATGACATCATGCACTGCATTTTTAATAAATTAACAAACGTTAGTCAAGTATATTTAGTTATTCCCAGACGGCAAACGCTGTATTACAGTTTTGCCACCAAATCAAGACTTTGACCAAAACTATCCAATACCTGCATGAACAGTCTACCCAATTAAGGCAGTTGCAGGCAAATAATATGCCAATAGGAAGTACCCGTCTTGCTCCAGAGGCTGACACTGTTTTCTTTGAACCATGTGATTTATTCTAAGTCTTCCTTTACATATGTACAAGTCTATTACAGAGATTTCACTTTAGATTTACATCCCATTTTCTATGTGGACGGCATGCCTATTCCACAGAGGGAATAATTTCTTTAAATACAAAAACTTTCATTGTTTTATTATTATTTAAATAAAGTATTATATGTACTATAGCCTCTGTGTGTAAAGTATTATATGTACTATAGCTTCTGTAATGCACAACATGGGTACCAATTTTTTGTGTAGATAAACCTTACCCTTGCTCTTTAAGTGCAGGCATCATTAAGGTCTCTTTAGTCAGAGACTAAAGACCGTGCAGGTAAACAAGAGCTGGTTTGCTTTCACATGGCCAAGCACTAGGCAAAATGAAAAAATGCACAATAATCTTGCATGATCTTTACACACAAGTGAAATAGGACTTAAAGATAGCTACCTCCACCTAGTATGGGTAAGCTAGCCTACAAGATATGATTAAAAAGAATTATTATCATATTTATTACAAAATAATATGCCATCACGGTCTATTACATTGTATAGCTTGGGTTTTCCAGAATAATAAAAGATAACAGTTTTCCTTTACCGCTAAAAATATTTTGTCAGGGACAAACATATCTCTTTTCCTTCAGTTCAATAGAGCTATCATAACCTATACCCGGCAGGCACGATGCCTTGGTGTACTCTTTGACTGTAATCTCTCCTTTTCTCATTACCTAAAATCTATCATCAAATCCTATCGCTTTTACT